AGAATATTATTTTATCTTTCAGTTTACACAGCTGGTGACCCGGGCACAACTAACAAGGTTCTATGAATCTCCGACCACTATGACCGTGTTCGCATTTAACGACACAGCTTATAATCAGCTACCGTACAGAGAACGGAATATAATAGACAGCTATACGGAAACAGAGCTCAAAGATTACCTCAAATTCTGTACAAGTTAGTATTCAAACAGTGATTTAAACATTTAAATGATTTCCTTAGTTGAAAGTATGGGAATTAATGCTGCTGCTGTAGCAGAACTTTGTACTTTTTTGTGCTTTGTACTTTTTTCTCAATAACAGCAACAGTTTTGCACATAAATGCATCCATACAACAGCAACCTTACTGTTTGGCAAGATTAAAACATTTCTGGCATCTTAAATTTCATATTTTACTTTGGAAAGAATTGTACTACCATATTTTTGTCAACGAAACATATTATACCGAATATTGATATTATTGTGCAGTCCTCGTTGTGCACTGATCAATGAAAATGATGATTATTAATACATTTTCATGACCCTCACTATAATCATACTTGATAATTCTAAAATTATGCATTTAGTGAAAAAAGGTAAATAAATAAACATTATAGATAAATAAATAAACATGATAAATAAATAAATAAATAAATTAAAAAATAATAAATGTATAAATAAAAAGGATGAATAAATTTAAAAAAAAAATGAATAAATACATATCTTTTCAGGATATATCATATATACCCTTTATTGTCGATTATTTTATTTTGAATTGAATTGTTACATTTCCAACATTTGAATGCCAGGTATATACCTGGGACCCACAGGTAAGGATGTATATCTATAGATTAATAAAGAAGAAGGTACAGTTTGGGCTTTATTGTGCCCTAAAAATTTAATGTTTTCAAAAAGTTATGGAATTGGCTTAAATATGAGTTGAGTATATGAATGCGATAAATCATGAAAGAGTACGGCAGGAAGGAGGACCATTGTGGATATATGACGTCATTAATTTGGGTTTTTTTAAACAGAAAAATATTTTACAGAAAAAGCATCAAAATGACTCATTTCTGGGGGTATTTTCCTTAAGAAAATAGTGTCCACTGCAATTTCTGAATATACTGTGTAAAAATCCTTTGAAAAATCATATTTCTGAATATCTTTGTGGGCGATGCATGTGCTCTATATTATCTTAGAGAAAAATTCACTGAAAATTGATGTCTTCTGCAACTTTTAAAGAAAATACGGGAAACTGCACAAGTTTATGACGTCACAATTACCGGTTAGGAAGTCATATTAGACAAGCGATTTTTATATTCTTACTGCATGGAATTTTAACAACTCAGAAAGCATCAGTTTCAATTACTTACATCACTCTTATTTTTGAAAAATACTGGGCATGATTTGTATTGAAACTGTACCTTGTTCTTTTGCAAATAAACTCTGAAACTGCTTACTCCTCTAACAATACACTAGATACAAGATGATGTCCGTAAACTATATTTAGCTTTCACTCGCATAGTAGGTATCGTATATTAAATTAAAAGTCTACTTTCATTTTCAATAAACAGCCATGAAATAGCAAAAACGTGAGTACGGTGGAGTTTCCGGTTCGCAGATCTAAGTTACTGGCAATTTTTAATGAAACTGACAACAAGCAATCATTTATTTATTTCATAAAATGTCATCACTGAATTATTCAATCAAAACTTGAATTAAATGATATAAAAGAAAAAGTTGTGATAACAGATTAAAAAGAGAAATGTGCAAATTATTTTCGTCATTCCCCAATCTTAATATACTCAACAAAAAAAGTTAAGGGTTATGAAAATCTTCATTTATAATTTCTATATCGGAAAAGTATATTTAATCCAAATAAATCGCAAAGTTTGTTCTGTTAAGTAACTACACATTTGATGAAAAACCAATGGTTAATGTTCACTTGGACAGAAGAACACGGCTAACAATTAATCACACCCTCTTAATCAGAGTGAAAATCACTATCCAATAATTGCAAAATTTATTAAATTAGAAAACGGCAATTGATCCAACAAATGTCAATATTTTGTGTGGCCTCCCCTTGCCTGAATAACAGCACTGCGTCGCCTCGGGAAACTTCGAATGAGTGAACGGATGGTCCTTTAGGGAATGCGATCCCATTCCTCTAACAGAGCAACTTAAAATTCATTGGTATTGGATGGAGCAGGATCCTGTTGCTGAATCTGCCTTTGTAGAACATCCCAGGCATGTTCAATAGGATTGAGGTCAGATGACTTCGAAGGCCATTCCATTCTCTCGATAGTCTCTCCCTCAAGGTACTGGTTCACGATGTTTGCTCTGTGTGGCCTGGCGTTATCATCCATTAAAACGAAATCTGTACCTATGGCCCCGGCAAATGGTCTCATGATTGGGTGAAGGATCTCATCTCTATATCTGATACCGGTGAATGCTCCATTTCTGATGAGGTACAACGTATTAACTGCGTGGACCCCTTAATAGAAATGCTTCCCCAAACCATAACAGAACCTCCACCAAAGCGATCATTTTGAGCCACACTGCAGTCACTGAAACGCTCCTTCTTCTGTCTCCAGACTCGTCGCCTTCCATCATTAAAATCCACGCAGAATTTGGATTCGTCTGTACAGAGTACGGATCTCAAGTGACGGATTTGCCAATTTGCATGATCTCTTGCAAACTCCAGTCTCCTTACTCTGTGGTCTGCAGTCAAATTTGGGCGTGTGGCAGGACGTCTTGCTTTCAAGTTAGCTTCATGAAGCCTATTCCTGAAAGTTTGATTAGAAATGTTTACGCCATGTGTGTTGCGAAAGTCCCTGTTTAAGGCAACAGCCGAGTTGAATCGGTTTCGCTTTGCTTGCAATACAAGTTTGCGGTCCTGCCGGGCTGTCGTACATCGTGGTCTTCCACTCCGAGGCATTTCCTGGACTGATCCTGTTTCCTGAAATCTTTGCCAGAACCGACCAATGACGCTTTGTGACCTGTTCATCAATCTACCCACTGCATCTTGTGACATTCCAGTTTGTAGCATCCCTATGGCCCTACCAGCTTCCTGTACATTAAGACGTCGTCTTTCAGGCATCACCTGTAATTCATTTGTGTATAAGTGTTGTTCATTTTTCCTTACTTATTGTCAGCATGAAGTACTGACAGTAATTTTTGAAGACATGCTTACCAGTTTCAGCCTGCAATGCTGACTAGGGTTGTGACTTTTCCGTTTGGCTTTGAACACGAGGACCGAGAAGTCAGCGAAGAGTCACAAACAACATTTGTAGTTATGGATAATCATACACATCATTTTTAGATAAATTTCCGAATTTAGATTTTTAGAATTTAACTATATTTTAAATAACCCTTAACTTTTTTTGTTGAATATATTTGACGGAAGCTTCTAGAACATCATATAGCATCGAGCCTGATGTTAAAAAAGAAAAACAAGGCGATTATAGCTGCATGAACATAAAAAGAAGCTTTTGTATGAATGGTCATTGAAATAATGGTAAATCATTGATAAAACTATAAGTTGTGAATATACATGTATTTATATATCGAAAGACTATTACGTACATGAAGTAGGTTTTTCTAATAAATTTATCGGTAAAATTTGTAGTTTCCTTACTAAGAGCATTGTGGAAACGAACCCGAAGTACAATTTGTACTTCGTAATAAACATGCTTACATGAAAAGAGAATATTAATGAATAAGGTATTTTTCAAATACAATTAAAGGCGTAAATTTTTCTGCTCTAATCAATACATTTCAGTTTTTTTTTTTCTTTTGTGTCAAATACTCGGCCTATTCATAGGGCTTTTAAAGCTATTTTTTACACAAGTAATTACATATTTTTTTTTTACATATCAATAAGATACATACATATTTATAAACCAAGACCCAAGTACCAGTGAATTTTTACCCTCCCCCAAATCAATTTATCAGTAAAATGTGCATATTCGATGCTTTTATCCTTGACAGAAATGAAATTAGAGCATTTGAAGTACAGTATCCATAACATAGTATAATATGTGTCACAATAAACGTCAATTAATAAAATTGTTATTTTTTCAAGTTTTTTTTACAAAAAGGGGTGGGGTGAAGACGTACATCTATTTCATGCGGAATTTTGAACAAAGTATTTCTTCCTTCTTTAAGCCTGAAGGCTGCCAGTAGAAACTATAATATATTTTCTGTCGGTAGTGGTATACATTCTATTCCCCGCGCTTGCGCAGGATTTCATCTAGTCATGTATATATTTTGTATGTCTAAATATTAGTCAGAGTCAACGTCTGATATTCTTGCCTCCATCTTTGTGATTTTCAGTCCCAGGAAAACGTGTTACAACCACTTCTATCCAGGATTACCAGTACGTCAGAAACGTCAATCGTGGCTTCCTCTTTTTCAATCGTGTCCAGAGAACAGACACAGTAAGTCATGCTCTATTTACTTGTATTTGAAACGCATCATGGGCAGAATATTGTATTTTAATTTCACAGTCAAGAGATCGAGACTAACAACAGTCACCATGAGGAACAATATGCAGTTCCGAAGCATGGGCGTCAAAGGTGACAAGTTATTTATAAATAGAAAAAAAAAGATTGTACACCGTAAGTGTTTGGGATTTGTAGTGCACTAGTACTGGAATTGACTTTTCTGCTTTAAACTCAAACACTGTAAGGTAACATTAATGTGTGAGGAGTATTGTATTGGACAAAAATTTTTGCTATGTTGTGTTCTTGATAAAGTAATTTATTCCAGAAACTTTTATTGTAAAAGGAAAGATAAATGGAAAAGATAAATCCACACTTTTCAACAGTATGTCCCTTGGTATCTTTTGGGATATTAACCCATAGAAAATCCTGTATAGACCAACATTGTATCTAGAGGTTGTATATAGGGATACACACTACCAAGATCCCAAATAAACTGTAAGCTCTATGGCGACTGAACTTGCATTGATGATGCATGTTATTAGGTATGAACACTAACTAATATGCTTCGGAAGCTGGATCTAGACTATATTCACAGTGTGATTGAACAGCAATTGTGTTTAGAGCAGATCCATTTAAAAGTACAGATCCTGCCTGCACCAAACTTGTATCCACTAGATATATCTAGCGATGATGCATCTTTCAAAATATTTGTTTGGTGTGAGAGGTTGCCTTATTTATCTATCAAGGTGAGCTTTGTAATCTTTGATACCTAGATGTTTACATTTTGCGGCATATTTCACCAGATGGCTTAGTTGGTAGAGCATCTTGGAAAGGTTTAGAGACCCCAGGATTGATTCTGGTCTGTCGCATCTTTTGCCTTTTCTGTTACAATTTGATGGTAGTCAAGGACTTTGTAATGGATAGGTCTGTTTTTATCTATGATAACAACATGTGAGGAAGTCTCTTAATTGTAGTACAGATTTCTGTTTAAATGATTTTCGAGTTCATTAAATTAATGTATTAAAGACATAACGTACACTATGTTTAATACTAACTATGAAAATGCTTACGTTTTGAGTCAGTCCTTAAAAACTGCTAGAAATTGCCTAAGCAGCAAACATTTATGAAAATGAGCTTAAAGATTGTGTTTGTTGCTTTGATATATTTCTGTATTGCCTTAATTCTGATGTTAATTGACATGCTTTATATTTATTGAGCAAAGATTTGTAAATAGAAAGATTTTTTTATTTATTATAATAGCAATACTAATTAGAAAATGCTGAAAACTTTAAATAAGCTTAAGAAATTTTGAGAGAAAAAAATCAATAAATATTTGATACGTCAATTTTTTAATTGAATGATTTCATTGTCCAAAATTGCTTAACAATGGCATATTAAATATGCTTAAAATGCTAATTTGCTGAGCTGTGTGAACTATGTCATCAAGGATAATTTTTCTCCCTCTAAAAACTATGAACCTTAAGTATCAACTAAAATTGTCTTAGAGTATTTGAGAATTGATCTGGTAGTAAACAATAAATACCAATAAGATTTGTTTCGTGAATGTATAGTGTGATCACCTGTTAATAAAATCCTTTATTTCATATTTCAGTGATTTTGAGGATGGATATTTTTCATGTCATCTTAAGTATACATTGAATGAACTACTCTCAAGAAGGATAAAGTTCTCTCTTTCCTAGGATCAATTTATATTCAGATGTATAAAGAAAATTTAATTTTTTGTAGTTAAAAAAAAACATTTATTTCATCATTTTATTTCAGAGTTTTTTCATCAATTTGGTAAATTTTGTCTCACGAGTAAAATAAATTGCATATCATTTGCTTAAGGGAGCCGACTGGGGTTTTATTGTGTGAAAACTACAATTTCATACCATATGTAACTTACATTGACTTCAGTGTACATGCTAAGTGCAGGGAAAATCTACCGTCTAAATATTTTTAGGGGCCGTCTCAAAATACAGGTATATTTACTATAATATTACATGTATATGGGGAAATGCCATTTTTTCGCTCTTCAAAGCTATTCAAACAAAATTTACAATATACTTTTTGCTCAAATTATAATATGTGATGAGTAATACTATATTGTGCATTATATGTAAGAAGCATAAAATTCTATTGTCTGGTTTCCAGAGGGAGGTTTCTCAAAATGTCAAAATTTTACTGTTTTTATGGAGTACAAAAGGTGACAGTTACAAAGGATTTTTTTTTTAAATTACAAAAATAATTGTGAGATTTTCAAATCTCTATGTTTAAAATTTCAAGAGCTTATAATGTATACCTGTACTTCTGTTTTATAACATTTTTATGAACCCTTCTTAAAGACTTTCAGTTTATCCTAACGTCACAAACACACTACTACGTTGTCTATCTACCTATCGTTCGTAAAATTGCTTTAAAAAAATAGTTATATAAAATTGTAATAAGGTTTTTAAACCTGTGATTTCTTAATTTTGTTAAATTTTATTAATTTGGTGAAAATAGTTGCTTAAAAAGAATAAATATGCTTTATTTTACTATGATGCGCAAAGTATTACGCAATGGAAACCACAATCGGCCCCCTTAAATGTAGCTTCTGCGTTCTTCTAGACCTCAGCAGGCACATTTGGACCAATCAAGTATTACGTCAATGGCATTGAGATATCAGAGGGAACAACTCGCGACATATCAGCCACCAATGGAGTTGTTCATGGTCTAAATGGGGTCATGCAGAAAACAAGTCAAAAAACAGCCTATGGGTGGATCCAAAATCCAGATGATGCTACACAAAGCTTTAGGTATGTATAGACTTATTTCAGAGCAGGGTATACTGTAAATAACTTTTTGTTGGTGAAACGCAATTTGGCTTAATTACTTGGCACAGGTTTGAGTGCAGAAATTTCATTCTCGCAAATATTTTGGTTTGCAAGACTACCCAGAATTTCAGAAAAAATAGTGTCTGTCTGCAAACTTTCTGTTTCTGTTTACTTTCTAATTACTTTTTTATGGATGCCCTATTAAGTTCAATTTGATATGTTGGTGGATAGGCAGTAAGACGAATACTGATACTTAATTTGATTCTGTATGTTAACCTGTTTGGAGCTGGGATGGTGGGGTAGATTCCTAATTTTATAAAGAATGAAAGGGCAAAGAGAGAAAACTGCTGAAAATATTCCTCTTTTGAAATGTGAAAGTTCAATGTCTCCCCTGTGATTAAATAATATGTCTGTTTAGAATATCCAGAGAATGATGGATTGTGATTAAAACTTGTTAATTATTAAAGTATATTTACTTAAGATGAGTTTATAATTACAAACTGTTATTAAAAATTGAAATTACAGAAGATTCTTAGATTTGATGAGCTACCTATATGTGGTGGACAACATTAATGATCTTTCATCACCAGACAGGATCAACACCTTGTTTGTTCCCAATGACAGTGCAATGCAAAAGATACCTATCACCCAGTTGGACAAACTGAAGAAAAATCCCTTACAAATAGAACGGGTAAATATACACTTAGCAGATCCCACAGAATTAGAACAGGTAAATATACACTTAGCAGATCCCACAGAATTAGAACAGGTAAATATACACTTATCAGATCCAATAGAATTACAATGGGTATATATACACCTTACAGTTCCCCCCGAACTACAGCAGGCACTTACAAAATCCCACAGAATTATAATGGGTAAATATACACTTATCAGATCCCACAGAATTAGAACAGGTAACTCTACACTTATCACCTCCAATAGAATTACAATGGGTATATATACACTTAACAGATCCCCCCGAACTACAGCAGGCACTTACAAAATCCCACAGAATTATAATGGGTAAATATACACTTAGCAGACCCCATAGAATTACCACAGGTAAATACACACTTAGCAGATCCCATAGAATTACCAAAGGTAAATATACACTTAGAAAATACTATAGAATTCCAACGGGCAAATATAAACTTACAAGATCCCACAGAATGACAAATTATCAAACAAATCCACAGAATTAAAATGGGTAAACTTAATAGTTCCCCGAGAATTACAAGGCGGCTACATATACACATATCAACGAGAATTACAACGACTAATATAAACTTACTAGACAATCCCACAGAATTAAAAACGGATCAAAGAGTAAAAATAGAAAACACTTATAGTGAATTGACATAGCAAAGTTATTTTCATTTCCCCTGGCCTTAAATATATATCTTGAATTTAACGCATATAATGAATTTCGTTTAAAGGGAAGCAAAATCATCCATCCCCGGCACTTCATTATTAGCCTGTTTGACTGTATACTCATCAGACAATTCTACAGAATTACAACGGGTTAATTATATATGCATTTATTAGACAATCCCACGGAATTACAATGTGTAATTATACACTTATCAGACAATCCCATAGAATTACAAAGGTTAAATATACACTTATTAGACAATCCTACAGAATTACAACAAAAAATACACAAATATCAGATCCCCCAAAATTTCAATGGATAAATTTACACATATCAGATCTCAAAGAATTACAACAGATGAATATAGCTTTATCAGATTTCACATAACAACAACAGGTATGTATTCATATCAGATTCTACAGGAAATTTTCATCTAAAGGTTGCCCCTATCACAACCACTTTTTGTTGCAGAATGCTCAGAGCCTCCAACATTGTTCTAATTTTAAACGTTTTTAATCACTGAAAGTGCATAAGATTGCAAACAGAATACAAATGGTTTAACTTTAAACATATTTTTCAATTTAGATTCTTAAAGCTCATTATATTCCTAATAGAGCTATTTTTACCAACTGCATTTCTCATAATGAAGAATTTACTAATGCCGGAGGTCAACCATTGACCTTCAGGAAGTCGTCAGATAACAATGGTAAGTTACACGTAAAGCTGGTGCTGTTGTTGTAATATAATGTGTCTGTTACTCATGTATAATTTCATCCATAATCAAATTACATAATGAATAAATTATTTGCATTTTTTTTAATTTACTGATAATTGAAATACCTTGGTAAACATAACATTCAGCAAAAAGTATCCATCAATATACAGAAACAATCTATTTTGCTGATACATGGTTAAAAAAAACCCCAAACTTTATTATGTAATTTTAAAGAAATTTTAGACCAACACAGTATTAAATGTACTAAACATTTATTTTGTCAATCTGTGATCTTGCAATCATTTCTTAAATATAGAACTCATGTAACTTAACATTAAAGTCAGCTTACAGTAAAACAGGCTTATAATGAAGTGCCAGTCACGGATGATTTTGCTTTGTTGTAAACATTATACACATATCACATGGCTTCGAGCATGACATACCAAAATATTTGCCCCAAGGTGACAGGAAAGCCCTGGAGTGTAATGTTACGAGATGCCGAAGGCATAATCCAAAAATGCTTTCATGACGTTAAGAATTCGCTCCGTTGTTTAACAATCGACATCATAAAATCTCGAACCCGAACTATAATGTGTAGCGTAAAAGCGCGTGAGGATGATCGGGAGGGTGTTATAACTGCTTCCGTCGGGTGATAAAACCGTTCGAGGCGTGTTATATAACTGTTTTCGGTATGATTCAGCATTCTTCTGGGTTTATAGTATACATACATCACATGGCTTCGAGGGTGACATACCAGAATATTTGCCCCAAGGTGACAGGAAAGCTTTGGAGTGTTATGTCACCCGATGCCGAAAGCAGAGGGTGACACAACACTCCAGGACTTCCTTGTCAGCGAGGGGCAAATATTCTGGTAAAGTCACAGGGAAAACCATGTGGTATATGTTATATAACTTTTTTAAAATTAAAAAATCGTCTAAAATCGTTAAAGTTCAGACAAATAATCCAAGAATGCTTTCATGACGTTAAGAATTACGCTCAGTTGTTTACGTTTGCCTAGCAACCGAATTCATAAAATCTCGAACCCGAGCTATAATGTGTATCATAAAAGCACTTTAGGATGATCGGGAGGGTGATATAACTGCTTCCGTCTGGTGATATAACTTTTTCCGGCATGTTATATAACTGTTCTGGTGTGATTCGGCATTCTTAAGGGTTTATAGTGAAACTTACTGCATTTGTGACATAATGGGACAACTTATTCAAAAACTGTTATATAATTCCTTATATCTGTTACGTGCACGATATATTTTAAAGCCAATGGGAATGAAAAGCATCTCATGAGAGGCAACTCTAAACCATTTTTCATCTACATAAAATGATTGTTCGTGTAGCAATCTTATAAGCTGGTTGGTCAGTGTTTTATTTTTTTTTTCATAATGATAATAAGTCAAAATGATTCCTTCCTGATTACAGTGTATGTTAACAGTGACGGTGTGAGTGCAGCCATTATTGAAGGAAATATAACGGTGACCAACGGAGTGGTGCACGTGGTCGATCAGCTGTTGGGATTCGTGTACAATAACGTTCGTGAACAAATTCTACAAGAGGGAACGTAAGTTGAATTTCTTTGGGAGTCCTAGCATTTGGTTAATTGGATTAAAGAATGACAAGAGATTTTGTTGTTTTTTTCTGTAAACTCAAAAGTTTCTGGATTTCTAAAAATCTTTCCTTTTTTTCATTGGAATGTTTTCCTCTACTTCTTTCGAAAAGTATGTTAACTCAATATTTAGTATTTAAACATTAATCCAATCCCTTCCAAAGAAATAATGTAAACTTAAAAAAAACTTGGTTATTCATATTTAAAACTACAGGCCTGGGAAAAATAATAACTTTGCTTTATTCATAATATAAACGTGAATTCATGACATTAAGCATGATCACTGTAACAGTGTCTTATAAGTAAGCTGGATGTCCTTATATTTATTCAAATTCATTTTATTGTATTTTTTATTCTTGTATCACTTATTATTTATTTTAAGGAAATTTGACCAGCTGATAAATCTAGGCACGGAGATCACAAGGCTTACCCTGGCGAAGCCCTCGGGGGTAACTGTTTTCGTGTCTCTTGACAGTGCCTTCCAGAAAATCGCTAACACACCCTTGGTCAACTTAAACAGTAACCAGATACTAATAAATACGGTGACTATCTAGGCTACTTCAAAGCCAAAATAAATCATCATTTTTATTCAGATATTGACATATTCACATATTGAAAAGTGGGTGAACTCAATTTTTTATTTGAAAACTGAGTTACTCCCTTTTTCATCCATACCTTTAAAAGTTGTTAGTCTTTAGGTCTCAGTCATTTTCAGAATTATTTTCTTTTATGTATGCCCTTCACGCAACATTCTTAAGGCTACAGAAAGGGGGCTGGGCCTAATTTATACGGGAAATGCTTACTGTGACATCACACAAAATGAGAATTCTTCAAAATATTAGGAAATGAAATAATTTACGATTTTAGACTGTATAAGAGCAATGAACTATACCAAAACTCATTGCTGCATTAATTTTTTGTCGCTGGTTTAATCCCACACAAGAAAATATTAACAAGTTATTTATCGCAATGCACTTGTCGACATGACGTCATCATGAAGAGATTTAACCCCTTTATGTGTAGTGAGAGGCAGGTATAGAGTAATATTTTTACAATGAAAATGCAATTTATTGTCAAAAGAATATTATTTTAAAATATTAGTTAGACCATGAATACCAATGCAAAACTTTTGTTTAGTACCGCTATTTAATTATTATAAACAAAATCTATTTAATTAATTATACCGGCCCGCGTGGCGCAGTGGATAGAGCGTCTGCTCTAGAGTCGCGAAGTTAGGAGTTGATCCTTACGTCGCGGGTTCGAATCCCACTGTGGGGCGTGGAGACCGGTCCTTCGGATGAGACCGTATAAACCGAGGTCCCGTGTCGCAGTAGGTGCTGGCACGATAAAGATCCCTCACTCCTCAATGGCCGTAAGTACCGAGCATAGGACAAAATTTGTAGCTCTCCACCGGCAAGTGGTGGCGTCTCCATATGAGTGAAAAATTCTCGAGAGGGACGTTAAACAACATACAAACAAACAAATTAATTATACCGTGTTATTATGTACAGGGTTAGTGTGTTTAACATCGAGGTGCCTCATTAAATTGCCTTTTCGCAATTGCAAGGGCATACACTTAACAGATCTTGGCCATTTTTTGAATATACATGAAGGGAATATTCCTTAACTTTAAAAGTTGTTGTTTTTGTAAATTGGAGAGCATTACTTAATAGATATATAAAATGTTTTGTGAAAGTAACACATATTTCAACTTGAACCTAATTACTTGAATTTCAAATGATAAAATTTGAATTTCATTTGAAGCAACAGCACTTTTCAAAATTTACAGGATATGTAAAATCGACTTATCACTTAATTTTTAAATTTAAATTAGGGTATGCCCTTGTGATATTGAAATTTGTGCATGAACTCCGAAAATACGTATTATGTGCATTTATCACGTGAATGGCTAAGCAAGTGACAAAACTAAATTCAATACAGAGTGGGGTGTGCTATGGTATTTCAAATAATAATATAGTCATTTAATAATGTAATAGTTTTACAGAAATAAATACAGTTTTCAAATGTATCTATTTGGGTAATTCCTTATTTCGTCAATTTCTTCATAGTACGCATTAACAGTGCTACTCAGTGGTTAAATAACAGCATTACCGCATCCTAAGATTGTAGTGGATACGACTGAACAAAAGGCTATGATTATGAAGAATATGCCGGCCTAATGGCCATGCAGTGATAAACAGCCATTACTTCTTATGGTGTTTTCAATTGACCCAGACATCTAGCTTAGTAAGTAGGGTAGCTACTATGGCTATGATCTTTAATGCAGCCAAGATTATTTCACTGTTTTTTTTTTTTTTTCAGGTGCTTTGGCTGCATATTCTAGTACCCAACAACCCAATTATTATCTCCTCCTTGCCAGCATTAAGCGGCTATGAGAATCGTCAATACAGACGAACCATTTATAATGGCGAGAGTGTCACCATTTATAATGAAAGAAATGGTAAATAGTTGCATATTGTTTGTCTTTTTCCAGACCAGTAAGAAAGAGTATGCATTGGATGAATTTTTAACCTGCTGATCTGACCCCCCCTCCCCCCCCCCCTCCAAAAAAGAAAACAAATGAGAATTCAAAAATATTCTCTTGGTTTTAGAATTGCAATTTTGATTTATATATATTCATGTTTATATAGGGGATTAAAGAAGGAGAAAACACGGTGATTTCATATCAACCCTTGTCCATTTATTAATAATAATATTTTCTATAAGAAAAAAATTTACAAAGCAATGTCATTTCTATTTTAAGAAATCTGGGTACAGGGAGGTAATGTGAAGGCTCGCGTGATCCGACCGGATATAAAGACTGTTAACGGCATGATCCACATCATTGATTCCGTTCTAGGAATCCCCTACCTGGATCTCCCCATGCTGATCTGTCATGACATTTGGCTACTGTAAGTGCAGTTAGGTCATAAACAATGATGATCAATAACCATTACATCCTTGAGTGAATGAAAAAAATATTGGACTTAAGTGACATACCAGTCGTTCTTTTTATTGTAAGACTGTGTTTCAGAACCTTCAATTTTTATATCTTTAACATGTCTTTCAATATAGGCGTACATACGACTATATGAGAAGAGTGGGACTAACAAATTACCTGACGGACAGCAGATTCACGGCAGAGAAGTGCAATTTTGAGATATATGGCTACCCTCCAAATTACGGATCAGCCGTGCTCACTAATCAGGGAACGAACTGCCCTACTTACTGTAGCCAGGCCCAGTATCAGAATCAGTACCCCTGTAACACAGCACAGTGTCAGACAAATACTGGTTCCACCACATGTCCCACTTATTGTGCCCAGGCGAATTACCAGAACCAATACCCATGTAATACAGCCATATGTGCCAATACCAACATTGGAGGGGGAACAACCTGTCCAACATATTGTTCACAGTCCCAGTATGCTAATCAGTATCCGTGTAACTCGGTCATTTGTATGTCTGGGGGGTCTAACTGTCCCGCCTACTGTTCGCAGCCCCAGTACGCAAAATCCCAGCAATGCCTAACGTGTAATGGGGGCTCAACAGCCCAGTGCCAGAATGTGAGCTACTGCAGCGACCCAAGCAATGCTAACAAAAGTCCGTGCAACACGTATCCGTGTAACATGCTGAATGGCATGAATACAGGATCACAGAGTTCCTCCGACTACGACATGGGGTACTGCGGATCGACCAGCGTGGCGTGTGAATTCACAGTCTTTGTTCCTAATTCCAGTGCTATAGACTACATTTCAGTGTCACTTAATGGAAACAGAGTCATGAGAGACACGCCAAGATTTCAATATGTAAGTGGAAAAAAATAGAAGATTCTCACTGAACCCTATCAAAGTAAAAGAGTTTCTGTTCAATTCCAGGAAGACGGATTTTTATTCAATTGAAATATGTGGAGATATCGAACAGTATTCGAGCTCAAAAGTCCATTAAACATTACAAAATAGGAGCAGAGCAAACACTGACCTCTAAGACATCGGAGTTGGGATCAGGTGCCATGGAGGAGTGAGCACCCCCTGCCGACCGGTCACATCCGCCATGTGCTCCTTGTCATGATCGGGAAATAACGGGAAAAACCGTCGACAGTTCAATGTGTAATGATGGCCTAACAATTAGTATGAAAAAAGTCAATCAGCATTTGACTTAATGATAGATTGTACTTGCTGACAAGTTCATTGTATCGAACATAGAACTTACAAAATGATGACTTTAAACGAGACTGCTGATATTCTTGTTTAATCAACTTGTTTGTCAATTACTTACCTCGTTTTAGAAATTGTTCATACGTAGAGCATGCTCTTGCGTATCGAATCAACTGAGAGATATAAACCCCATATGCAGGTGATAAGGGTATATTGCTGCATAAGTAAGAGAAGTTGACGATTGAAAAGTTAAAGTCATCACGTTTATCATAAAGTTTTTTTTAGCTCAAGTGATCAAACGTTTAAAAAATATCCTTTGTCACATAAACTTCATGTTCATTCTGTAAACCGTCTATGTTTATAACAGTTTATAATATACAAAATTGTATATAAAAACCTACAGAAAAACTTCTAAATATGTTCGAGTAGGTCATGTAGTTTGCAATTTGAATCCTTATAAAAGCATTTCTCATAAATAACTATTTTATAATAAATCTGCAAGGTGTAGTTCTGTACCTTACTACGTCTATGTTGTACATTTGGGCCTACGAAGCGTTCTTTGCAGGTGTTTGGTGCTGAAAGAAGGGTTTCTTAAAGATTCCCTCAAGAGGTTTGTGATCCTAGTGCACTCTGATTCTTCCTTGTCCATACATGTACTCGTCGAACCTTTCACACCCAAGTACGATGTTGAGGCATTCTTTTTCAATTTTTGCGTATCTTTACTGTGTTTGTGTCATGGTCTTGTCATGGTCTCTATTGTCAGCTCTTTGCGTATTGCTTTTCCAGTTACAGAATGGACGTTTTCATTCAGTTGAATAATTTTCATCTTTTCAGAAGCTTCCTTGGACAAAAGAGGGAATTGTTTGGTATCAACAATTTGGAATTCTAGCTTATACTGCATCCATTTGGCTCACTATTCATTATTGCCTGTTCAACGGGTTTCGTTCGTGACCAATCATAGAGTGTAAGTTTTGAATTAATCTTTTGCATTGGTGGATCTCTATTTGGTGCAATATTTCAAAAGTCCTTGTAGCTGATAAGGTTCATGTTGAACATGTATCTATTTGGCATTTCATTTCATGTGCATTTTTTTTCTACAAGTTTCATTTTCATGTTGACAAACCATTGCTTTCCAGAGGAATGTACTGATCAAATAACTAAATTCACTCAGCGTCTTCCAGTTTTTTCCTAATGCTACATTGTCTGTTTTCTTAGAATTGGTAAGTGGTGTTTGTTTGTAGATTTTCACGAAATTATTCATTTTGTCACTCTTGCTGTATTTCATTATATAATCAATTCATCAATAATATCAACTGCATTATAAACTCGTTCATGTTTTCAGAGGTTTACTACATCTATGCATTTGTTCTTCTTGATGGATAAAATACGAAAATTCATTGTTCTCATATTTATGTTGTATTTTAAGTTAGCTTAGTAATAAATTGCTTAACGCTGAAGATAATTATCACCGTCCGGCAGGGGATGCTCACTCTTCCATGTCACCTGATCCCATCTCTGGTGTTTTAGAGGTCTGAGTTTGTTCTGCTCCTGATTTGTATTGTTTTTATGGCCTTTTGAGCTTGAATACTGTTCGTTATCTCCATATATTTCACTGAAAAAACTGCTCAAATTATGATTATGTTTCAGCTGTTTAAGAGACTTATTGTTCCAGGGCGTATTTTCTTAGAGAAGCTGGGGAATGGAACCCATGAGATAAGAATGATTTCTGGAGAGACTGTTAGTCTCGTTAAATCAAACCAAAGAGGTAATAAACAGAAGCCTTGACTAAACGTTGATTAATTTGATGAGAATCCTCACTACATAAGTGTGGGGTTGACGTTTTGTATTGGTGTCAGTTATCAATGTGTGTTTGTCAAAACGCAGTGTCCTTGGCACTCCGGGTTGTACATTGTAATTTGGGATCATTTGCTTTATTCATTAAAAAGCGCGTAAATTTGTCTGTGTCGTATCATTTAACGTCATTTTGATTCAAGGGTTTATTTTAGATGTCAAAAGCATTGTACTGTGAATGGGGGTAACCGCTATGTAGAAAGAAAAATTTGATTAACCAAAAACAAATGATAGAAGTATCTAATATAGTTGTATGTAAGTTCGAATTTAAATATCGATAGACTGTGATAACTGAAAACTGATAGAAGTGATATCCATAATATTTAGTTTAGAATTAAGGCATCTAACGCATTAGTTTATCACATTTATCAAGTGTGAGTCGTATATCTCATAAACACGTGACGTCTGCAGTTGGTAGAGCATTCATTAAGAGCTATGAATAAGGATTGTGTAGCTAATAAATATTAAAAGAACGAGCAAATTAAATGTATGCACAATATGTACATCATATGATCGTATTCTGAATGTTAACTTTTCACGTTTACTAACATCTGATATATTGAATAATACATTTTCATCTTTTTTTTAGATGTGAGGATATTCTTTGGAGGAGCATCAGCGAAAGTTATCCACATGGATGAAGGGGCAACAAATGGGGTCATGCATATCATTGACCAGTTGTTATTTGTTCGGGAAGATCTTACAAGAAACATCACATCGTCGAGTAATCTTGAGAAATTGCAAGAGATTCTGGGATAATATTGTTAAATCATGAAAACAAAAGGATACTCAGTATATGGAATGTCAGATAAAAGTTTACTAATTTTTTGAGGATTATTTAAATTAAAATTTGTGTCCCTAAAACAAATTAAATTAAGATAAGAAGCTATTACTTTTCCTGCCTTTTCATCTTTCACTGTCTTTTACAGTATAACTTCTATGAGCTAACAAATGTAGTACCTTTCTCCAGAAGAAAGTACGTTCTTCCAAAAATGGATCTTTCAACGCGGGCTCTAGAAATGACTACAACAGTAACTTCCTTGTGTTTCCATTACAGTTGAAACAATTACTAGTAATGTATAAGGTTTCACCATACATTCCCAGATAGAAACAAGCATGCTATATACTGTTCATCTTTTTCAAGATGTGGAACTGGAAATATGCATCAGCAGTTTAATGTAGCAGTCTTGTCATACATATGTGAAATCCATTTATTGGGTCTAGAGGCCTAGTTATGATGGGAAAAACACTTTGATAAAGTGATTTACATGCATATCTCTTGTTGTGTAATTATATGATGTTTATCGGTAAAATTCTTTGTTTTTTAATGATGAAAAGATTCTACACTAAATACATCAAAACAAAGTTTAAAGTCTACAGAAAATGCAAGTAATTGTAAAACAATGGACATATCAACAACGTCAGACCTTGAACTATGAAATCACACAAAATGCCTTTTCGCCATTTACCCACCTTTGTCATGAGTAAGGAATATACATGACAGAAGGTATTCATGTTAGCACATCACATCACATACATGTGTAATGATGGAGATAACTTATTAGCTATAGACTTTCGGATTTCCAATTCTACGTATAGATTTCAAATTAAATGATCCAATACACTACAAATGTTTTGTTGTTCTTCAATATCTCCTCACTTATATGGAAAGCATGAGGTCTGTAGACAATACCAAATCTATTGTGTTATATTTGTGTTACATAAAGTGCTAAATGATGCAAAGATCTGATGAAGAATTAGTGTTTCTTCAATACGCCAATAACTTGTACATTGCGTGTTACATGTATTTTTCGTATTTACCAAATGGATAATGTATATATATAAATAATATACATAATAATAATATACATAAACAAAACTATGATGACTATTGCAAAAACTGTTTCAATGGTGTTCTGTTTCTTACACGATTTATCTTCACCTAAAAATAAAAAAAAGGAAATTACTTTCAGAATATGTTTCAGACTGAATTAATATAGAAGTTATTTATGGTCATTATAGTCAACAAGTGCAACGCAAATGCGAGCATCTCCTCGTAAAAAGCATATCTTTTAATAAAGACAGCATTCGACACCGATCCCGATGCAAATTACGTCACTTCCGTTTCTCACAAAGACAAACTAACACAATCACAGACAAGAGCGTTACTATATCCCCTCCAACTCCCTTGTGAGGGGATAAAAAAGAGTTTAATTCAATAGCGTTCTTTAAACTCTAACATAATTCTTCAGAGGATATGCATATATTATAAGTAAACTCTGAAATACATCTGTCTTTAATTTTATAAAGTGTATATATCTATTGCAATTGAAAAAAAAAATCTTACAATAAAAAAATAAGATAAATTAGACAACAGGAGAAGATCTTCAGATTATAGTCATTATTTTAGATTCATTTTGTAACCTAACAAAAAAAGTATCTATATTTAAAATTCGTACATTTTTGCTTTATACCTAGTGATACAAGTAAGACTATTTTCAAATAAACAAGTTTTTTTTTAAATATGATTATTAAATGCATTATTTCTAAACTTTTTCTTCAAATAGTCTTTTAGCTTTTTGTAAAGTTGGCTGAAATATGTAAAGGATTCCAGAAAAGAAGATAAAAGAAATAAAAAGTGTACAGCATGCGTGCATTTCTTATGAGAACTCGTACATGTATCGCAACTAAAATAGGATTTACTTAGAAGCATCTTATAGAAAAATCCATTTTGTTTCTTCCACAATAGAGTTCAACATACCCATCAATATTAATTCGACATTCTATAATAGATGAAAGTTGAAATCGATAAGAATATCGCTTTACATCTTCTTTGTATGGCGCCTGTTTTTTTTTCCATCAGTCACATTTTATTTTGGAAACAAAAGAAAAACAAAAGAAAGGGGCTTGAAATTTTGATAGTGTAAAGTTTGTAACTATAGCTTTTGTAAAATTCCAGAGTTTCTGACCTCGTAACCTATAATATGACCTTTGATCTGCTTTTCAAAATAGCCTCATTACGCCGATATACACTATGTTCTTTGAACTATATACACTATGTACACGCCGATATACACTATGTTCTTTTTCGGCCACAATATACAGTCTTGTTATATGTCTATCAATCAATACACGGGTTAGCTCCATCTTATTATTGAGGATCTTATAATTTAATACAAGTCCACCAAATCATTGCGATCTGAGTCAACATCGCGGTTAGTTATTCCAAAAATCAAGACAAAGACATATGGTGAACGCCAGCTCTGTTGAGCAGCAGCGCTTTTGTGGAACGACCTTCCTAATGAGACAAAACAGGCCCAGTTCCTGGACATTTTTAAAAGACATTTAAAGACACATTTTTATAGAGTAGCTTTTTAAATACTTGGAGCACACATTTTAGCAACAAATCTCAAAAGAATTTCTAACATTCACAGTTTTTAATGACGTAATTGTATGTATGTAACTTTACAACTTTAATGTTATAATTTCTAATACACATATGTTAAATTACATGTAATTAATCTATTCTTAGTTCTTAAATTATATTTATTTGCGTTTTATTGTATAGCGCTTTAGGGTAATTTTATTAATATTTAGCGCTTTATAAATTCATGTTATCATTATTATTATAACAAGGAGTTGTAAGTCTTAACTTTTTAGCATGAACACTGCTTTTCATCATAAAACATTTTGAAAATTATAGCATTATAATCATGCACCTAACTTTCGACTTTGTCCTACTTTTTAAGAATACCACATTATCTTTATAATTTTTAAAGGTAGTACATTGATAACTTGCATACATATTGCATTTTTATGACCTCATGACAGTGTAATTTCAAAGGGTCTAATTACATATACTAAAGCCCCCCCCAAAAATAAAATAAAAATAAAATGAATTGCTGAGCGGAAATGAATTTAGATTCCGGGTATATTTCTGGGTTTGCAATTCAAGTTAAGTTATCGCCCGACAATTGCATTAAAGACAAAATCACACATTTATCAAGCTACAAATCTGACTAGCCCCCCACTTTTTTTTTCAAAGATAGGCATAATATAGGCATTGGAAATTGGTGCTTACCTTTTTCCGTTGGTTTAGCCCCCCCCCCCCCCACTTTCAATTAGCCACCCCACTTTCAATTTGCTTCCGACGCCTATGTTCATCATCAATGTTGCTACTGCAGATGGATTGCATGTACGTTCTTGATTAAATTTGAACGATTGATTGATTGATTGTATGTTGTTTTACGTCCCGTTCGAGAATTTCTCACTCATACAGAGACGTCATATACCAATGAAGGGCTTCAAATTTAGACCTTTACTCGGCACTCAGGGCCATTGAGCAGTGAGGGTTCTTTATCGCGCCAACGCCTACCGTGACACCGGGCCTCGGTTTTTAAGGTTTCATCCGAAGGACCCTCAACTTTCACTTCAAAGTACAGAGTGCTTGGCGAAGGAACAGTTACTACCTGTTTATTATCGACTTATGTCAGTCGAGGCCTTGATTCGAACACACGACCTTCCGATCACGTAGCGAGCGCTCTACTTTTAATTTGCAACATAAAGATTCAGTAAAGTAACTTGAGTGCTGTCCTTTAATGAGGTCAACCCCAAATAGTACCAAACATTGGGGTGTGCATGAAATGAGTGCTTTATTTTTAGAAAAATTATTTCTAAGTATAGGAAGCCCTATACTAGGGTAATCAAAATTAATAATGCAAACAATTTTCTTGTCAAACGATAAGTAACAAACCAAAGTTACAAAGGCTTCTGTGAGAACTCTGTGAATTTTTACCCCTAGACGGCGACCAAAATACATGTACAACTTTCGAAAAGTGACGAAAGTATAGATTTATAATTACCACAAAATTTTAGTTCAGTTTATAATTTTGGCTACGAGATGATCGAAATTACACAAAATATACTTACCAAACACTTCTGCCTCCACTATCTGAGAAATCTTAGATTGTACATATTTAATTTCCTCTTGCATGTCAAATTCTTGACTAGTTGGAAAATCTTCAATGAATTCATCAATATTTATCTCGATGAAACTGTCCAACTTTTGTGCCAGTGAATTTTCTGTGCTCAGAAAACTAATATTTCCTGCTGTAATTGAGAGCTCAGAAATGGAGCAGCATTCTAATGCATTGTCAATAAAATTTTGTAAAAGGTCTCGGCTTTTCTTAAGTCTGGTTACATTACACGTAAGTTTATCAGATGTCCTCTTATTTGCATTTATTTCGTAGTCGAGTAAACTCCTGATTTCTTCCCTGATGCTTCTTGCAAAAGTTTTTTTGTCACTCAACATTTGGAAAAAATAGGAACTTCTCCCAAGAATACTTAGATAATATATAGTCTTGTCGGTAATCTTCTTCTCTTTTGCTTTGCATTCCGACAAAAACTTAAGATCTTCCATTATTTTATCTTGCATTATTCTATTTTCAAAATACATGCATGTTTCCGTGCCGAGAGTGTTTTGTAGTGTATAGAAACCTAGTACTCTGTTGTATTCGTTTCTCCTTCCTAAGTTTACAGCATTTACTTCTAACCTAATAAATTCTTCTAAGTGGAACGGGCTTTTCACTACATCTTTAAATCTAGATATAAGCTGATCAGTCATCCTCTCCGATTCTTTCTGCTCATACTCTTTTAAAGAATGGATGCCTTTCCTTATGGTTGCTACTAATTTTTCCCTCCCATTCGTTTCTTTAATTGTTATAACTGAACGTAATTTCTTGATTTTCATTAAAATCTTTCTTGCCTTTTCTGTTTTACTTTTTATGTG